CAGAGAGTATACATGAGCCTGACATGTGAAAGATACAATATCAACATGCTGAGACGGATTTCTCTGCAGGCTAAAAAAAAACACACAACATCGCACATCACAAGATAGAACATGAGGCATCATCTGTCAGAAGAAATGCCACACCTATATATTTATTTCTCCTTAATTTCATTTAAACAAATGGTCTGGGCAGCCATGGCAGCCAGAGGGTGTGTGTGTGTGTTTGTGTGTGTGTGTGTGTGTGTGTGTGTGTGTGTGTGTGTGTGTGTGTGTGTGTGTGTGTGTGTGTGTGTGGGGTGGAAGAGAAAGGGGGCAGGCAGACATGACTGGGATAATAAGCGTCATGGAATCTAATCAGATTTCTAAGAGGAATTGATTGTTGTGAGGCAGCCGGTGCAGGAGTGGGGTTGACAATAAGCTGAAATTTAAGTGTTAATTTTTATGCTAATCCTCTGGCATCTCTGTGTGATGCAATTTGGTCCAGCAGCCCCCTCGACTTTGCGCCGCAGATATGAAATTGTCCCGTGCACAGAGAAAATGTCAGCTTGCCAGACCCTGAAAGCTGGTAATTTATTAGGTATGTTTCTATTAGTATGTGTCACAGTTGTTAGGGAGCCACATGCGCAGGCAGGCAGCCACAGCACCTTGTTCTCTCCTCTCCTCCTCTCCTCTCCTCTCTCCTCTCTCTCTCCTCCTCTCCTCTTCTCTCCTCCTCTTCCTCTTCCTCTTCCTCTTCCTCTCCTCTCCTCTCCTCTCCTCTCCTCTCCTCTCCTCTCCTCTCCTTTCCTCTCCCCTCTCTCTCTTTCTGTTCTTCCAGCACCCAACTTGTCTGATCCTCCTTTCTCTTCTTTTTTTTTTGCGTCCCTGCATTGCCATCCACTTCTTTAGCTCACTCTCACACGCAAACACACACACACACACATGCACACACACAAAGGCACACACCATGCTTGTTCTTAAGATGGTCTCGGCTCAGTGGCTGCTACACTGGGGCCTTAATGTATTATCATATATCGGGTGGTCCTTGCCCCCTGGACAAAAGGCTATTTAATACAATTTAATGACATTCCCAAGAATGAGAGGAAGAGGAGGAGGAGGAGAGGGGTAAAAAAAAAGAGAGGCATAGAGTAATAGAATAAAAGAGAGGGGGAGGAAGGGAGGTAGAGCAGGGGGAAAGGGAAGAATAAAAAAGAAAGGCAGAGGCCCAGATGAAAATAGCATCTGTGTTTTTCATGGCTCACCCATGCAAACATAGCAGTGTAAAATGCGTGACTTTCCCCCTCTCCACTCTCTCTCTCTATGAATCTCTCTCTCTCTCTCTACCTGCACAGTAAAATATAGTCGGGGGCCTGATAAGGTAAAGTATCAGTAGACTTTTAGCATCACTTTTCATCTGGGCCTCAGCAAGCTGCCAAAAAAAGAAAAGAAAAGGTACCCCAACAATACACAAACCATAAAACCCTTAAAATTCTTACGATACCAGGTGTGTCTGTTACTGGTGAATTCTGCAGGATGAGTGTGAGGAAAACAAACTGTGCGTGATCTGGCTCAGGAATGAAGCAACATTTATTTTTCATGTGGTGAACGTCTCTTTTCAAAGTCTATTCAGGTGTCAGATAATGTCACCCTCACAGAAATACCTAAGAAATGTCTCAAATGAAGATAATTACACCAATGAACCTATTGACTGAATGTGCCTACAAAGTTAGAATCAGGGTCAAAATCAGGTTCGTAGTGGAGAAAATGCAGACATGCAAGGACTTTTCTTGGTTTCTTTAAGGTAGAATACAGATAGAAAGTGAACATATAAATGAAACTTATAGATATAAAGAAATATAAAACAAAATATCGTAATCGTATATTTTAAAATTTGAAATGAGCATGATAAGAAAATGTTTGTCTCTTTCTCACGCTGAGTAAACTCAGTAGAAGTCAAAGCGTGGCACAACAAGCCAGACAACAACACTGCTAATGATTCAGCAGAAACCTTCAGCCCCTGTTGCCCCCCCCCCCCCCCCCCCCCCACCACCACCTGTTAGAGCTGAAACTAATAACTTTATAACAGGCAAGATTGTGGTTTAACATGTTGAATTAAGAATGACATGAGACAGGAGATACAATATTTCCCTTAATCTTTACTTTAAGTATTTGGATGCCTAAATCAAACCACATGCAGGAGAAAACACAGCAGAAACTCAACTCAAAGCAACTACACGGGTCGAATTTGCAATCAAAACTGTCTTATTACACTTCTTTTCAGCCACATTCACCTGCCGTGTACAGATAAACGTCATATTTCAAGATATAGGGCCCAAAAAAACAAGACCTGCATTGCTTGTAACACATAAAACTATCTGCAGATATCCTAAAGTACACTATGTTTCATGGTGTTGAGAATGAATTGATGATGTTGTACAGTCAAGCTTTAGGTGTGGCTGTGACCGAGCGGTGGGAAAAGATCATTCATGTATTCTGTTGTTTATACCAGTGGTCCAAAAGTGGGTCATGGAGCCATTTCCAGTGGGTCTCAAATGCTGTCAAAAAGTCTATGAAGCGTTTTTTTAAAAGTTTGTTTCATTCAGTTCTGTTGCTCTATCACGCTTCTTAACGCCCGAGGTCCAAACTGCACAATTTGTCTTTAAATAAATCTGACTGATTGAAAAATACATTTGGGTCACGAGGATAGTTGGTGGGATCTGAGACTCGACCAGTTGAGAAGCACTGGTTTATACTAATATTACAACAATGAAGGTAACCAGCTCGACTCCAAAATAACACACTCCCCATAACTGACACATCTGTATGCAGCAGTGTCAGAATTGATGACACTGCTTTCATTTAATACAATTCCTCAAAAACACGACGTAATATTTTTTAATCTTTATTTATACATTTTGAAAAACGGCGATTGTTACCACCTGGAGCCATCAAATACCAGGATGGAAAATGTAAGAATGATCCATACAGTGCTCTTAATGATGCATTCAGTATGTATCACAGTTGTATCCACTTAATTGTATTAACATCATCAGCATCTTATCATTGTATTTGGTTTTGCAAAAAACAGTTACGCAGTGGTTTGTAACATATTTTAGATTTAAATTCTTCCCAGTTTTTAGTAACTATAGGGTCGTACTCGAATACGGGACATGAGTAAATGCACTTAGTTACTTTCCACCACCACCACCTGTTAGCAGGCGAATCCGCTTGGTCGTGTATGTCTTCATAGCGAGTTCAGCAGCCTCTTTTCACCAGAACTCTGTTGTTATTTTCGATTATTTTCCTGTTTTAATCTATTTCAGTCGTCTCCTCTCTTTCGGTTTAAACACAGCTAAATGTCTGTGCTCCCTGCTCGTATGTTGAGTTCCACTAGAAAGCCAGTCAAAACTGTACTCAGTGGGCCCAGAAACACACTGAAAGGTTTGGATGCAATTCACATATAGGTCAATTAAATGCAACAACATCTGCTCTCTCTCTACCATTTGCATATGGCATTCATATGTTAATGATGTCCCTTGTTTTTTTTTTTCCAGCATGTGTGTATGTGCATGCATGTTTGTTTCTCTCTCTGTGTGTATCCCCCCCCCCCCCCCGTACTTCCTCCCCTCCTCCCAGTCTCTTTGTATCGCCAAACAAAAAGAGATGCAGAAAATTTGGATTCATACTTCCCTTTTTCAGAGGCAAAAAAAAAAAAAACACACACAGATACGCCCGTCCTATTTTCACTTCCTCTCGATTAAAGGGGAGGTTAGACGAGTGCCACAGTTGTTCCATTGCCGTGCCCCTGATTCCTACAAGAAGCCCCTTTAACAGCAGAGAAGGAGAGGCCCTTTCTCTTCCCCAAGCAGCTTAATGCCTTATAAATCAATGATGACACAGATGGACTAGCGATAATCTATTTAGAATGCCTCACAGCAAATATTGTTGTGCAGATGATTAGACAGCCAGTTATTTTAACTCAGACCCCTAAACCCAATCTTCCGCTTATCGTAATGCTGCTCAGATTTATAGCAGTAATTTGATGTATTTTTTTTATTTAAAAAGAGATGAACAAAATGTCAGGAATTTAAAGTGAAACGAGGTTGTGGCAAAGCAGTCTTCATCTACATGTCTGTCTCTCTCTTTGCCTGAGTGTTTAAGAGACACACACAGGGTGCATGTGTGTGTGTGTGTTGTGTGTGTGTGTGTGTGTGTGTGTGTGTGTGTGTCCTGGGTGGCATGGGCAGCTTGAGGAACAAAAGACATGAAGAGGTGCTGGTGTCGGTGCCAAGGCCATAATGATCAGGCATGTTTCTTTAAAGCAGGGGAAGACAGACCTTTAGCAGGATTGTATCTCAGGGGCATGTGTGTGTGTGTGTGTGTGTGTGTGTGTGTGTGTGTTAGACAGTCTAGTGACACGAGGGGGGTTAATGGCAATCCAGGGTCTCTGCCCCTTTTCATGGTCGATGGGTCTCAATTTAGCGTGCGGGGGTGAGGAGGACGAAGAGAAGTAGAGGAGGAGGAGAAAAGGAGGAGTGCAAAAAATGAAGTGGAGGTTGTCAGACGTGGCAGCTGCTCGGAGGCCCTGATAAATATAAGCCCTTATTGATCGGTTTGAAAATGAAAGATCCCCGAGTGGCGTGCAGTATTTAGCTTCTTGTCTGCCTCGCGTCAGCGGTGGCCTTGCCCTGGAGGGATAGATTTTCAGCTGTGCCTCCGGGCACCGCAGAGCGCTGGCTTTGATTTCATCTTTAACCTTTTTCGGCTGCGTTCCCTTGACCTCTGCAACATCGCTCGCTGAATTTGTTAGATTTTCATCTTGACATCGACCCCCCTCCTCCTCCCCTCGCCCTCCCCCTCCACCCTCTCCACCTCATATTCTTCTTCCTTTCCACCCATCACTGTCTTCTTCTTCTTCATGCTGTATCCTCTGTCCATCTTCCTCTTCGCCTCCTCAGGTCTATATTTCATTATCACCTCCGTCCTCTAATCCTCCCCCCCTTCTCTGTTTCTCCCTCTAGGTGGCCATTCCAGCGAGCAGCAGTCAGTCAGGAGTGACAGTGAGACGCCACTTGATCCTAACAGACAGGTTGCACTCCAGTATGCAGTTTGAGTGTTAAGGTACGCTCACACACACACACACACACACACACACACACACACACACACACACACACACACACACTTAGCCTGCAGCAAAACATCCTCAACTTGTAGATTTTTCCCTTTTTTCTACACCCTGTATGATATTTGCTTCTCTAACTGTAATGCTAAAAGAACAAGACACATACACACACATAAATGCACACACACACACACTAACACACTCCAACTGTTCGTCATTCACTCACCATTTAGTCTTATCCCCAAAGGCACTCTGTCTTAAACCAAAACACACACACACACACACGCACACACACAGTCACACACAGCTACAGTACACTGCTGCTATGTGCGCAGACAGAACTTGTAACAATCTGGATTGTGATAATCTATGATAATCATCCACCACATGCCACCTAAAAACGCACATGGGTGGCATTCAACACCCACACTGGCACATTGCTTCAGTGCATCTCGTCTCCCTCTGCCGCTCTCCCCAATGTCACTACCTCCAGCGTCAATGTCACCACTCTGCTCCTTATTCCTCCTTTTTTTATGTATGAGGGGGCTTGTGCTATAACACGACGTGGAGGGAGAAAAAAGGAAGGAATCTTGAACAATTTATGTTTGGCATTAGTGTAATTGAATCCCACTCGTATATCAAAGTAAAAAAAAAAAAAAAAAAAAGTTGCGAGGCGCGGGGTGATATAAATGCAAGGTAGGGATCCATGAAAACACAGATCCGTCCCTCCCCTTTTCCCTTGTCTCCCGAACAATGTCTCCCATCTCTTTTTTTATTCTCTCCCCTCTCTCCCCTCCTTTAGCTAGATGGATGATAAATTCCCAGCCAGAGAGCCAGCAACAGCTGTTGGCAGACAGGCCTGATATGAGAATAGCAGCATAGGATGAGCAGGCATTAAAAATTAATATGCTATTTAGCCTAGGTGTATTTTAGGTATTTGACATTTTCATGTCCGGGACAGACTAAATTTATTCATAGTACAGAAAAAAAATAAAAAAAATAAGAAGGGAAGAATGGGTGTAGGGAGGGGGGAGGAGGGGAGGTGGAGATAGATATGGGGGATAGAGGAAACACTAAGTGATGGCCATTCTGGTTTTATGGTCACCCTGTTTCACCTTGCCTACCAAACACGGCGTGGAGGGTTTGACTGCATCTTTATATATATGTCCCATTATACAAAAGGACATGTCGCCACTGGTGACAGCACAACACCTACTGGTGGAAACTGTTAGCCAACATATTGTGTTCACTTTTATTGACTTATGGAAGGTCGAGCTCAGTGCTAAGTTTATGCAAAAGCGATGAATCGTCTAGGTGGATCGGTTGCTGAATTGGTTTACCTGACACAAACCAAGGGGGGGCCCAGGGGTTTGTGCCTATATGTAGTTTCAATGAGACCACCCACTGGTTTATCAATCAGAGTTTTGAAGCCCAAAGATGGCGTTTGTCACATTGGAAATGCTTTCTCAACCTAACTTTCGGTCAACCTCCTAGCAATCCACTACAGCTCACCTTTCTGTCAGTCAGATCCGCCCCTCTTATTAATCACAAAGATTAGCCTTAATATAGTCAAGACAGAGGGCTGACATTTATTTCAGCCTATCCTAACCAGCTAACCTTGTGACAGAATGAATCTTTTGGATGGTGGTATGCTATACACCAAACATTAAACCGGATCTTCTAAACATGTATATTTTTTTGAGTTGGGTTGACACGAGACCACCTCTCAAAATAAATGGTTTCAAATACGACGACAGTCATTTTTAATGGGGAAATATGTCTAAAAGCCGAGAGAGCCTGAACAGATTTGGAGTTGGAGATTTGTTGATGGGGAACAAAAAAAAAGAAATACTGTAGAAGAAGAGTAGCCATATCCAGTATTGTCATTTATCCAGATTAGAAACTTAAACGCCAGCTGTCATTACAGACAAAATACTCAGCAGTGTAAACTTTACATTCTGTTCAATCACAAACACGATTGTATGCAATTCTGCTGCAAACTGCATTTGTGGACACAGCGACGGCTTAGATTCTGGTGATATATTGATAAGATTCATGTTTATGTTGCATATGTTCACTTTTCCAATGGCCCAGGGTTGGGAAGCTCAGCCACTATCCTTCAGTCAGACCCCTGGAGGCAAAAAAAAAAAAAAACCCAGTCCCATGCTGAGCCATGCTAGGACAGTCCCCTCTCTCTCTCCATCCCTCCCTCCCTCACTTCCTCTGTGTCTTCCCTCTCCCTCCCTCCTTGGTGATTAATGGCTAATGCTGCTCTAGTACATCTCTATATCCCCTCCTCAGCCCTCCCTCACTAATCGTTGTGAAATCTTAGACATGGCCTGGATCTGGCCTCTTGGCGAGAACACATCAGGGGGATGGATTGAATATGGGAGGGGGGCACAACATTAACGTCACTCAGCATCAATATCTTTTGACCTTATTCTTCCTTGATGTCTTCATATATCATGTCCTAAATGTTAAAAATGTACATACACCTTGTAGTCCCTATCATTTCACTATTTCCTAAAAATCTAAATTCTTATTTTGTGTATTGACACAGCATGTGATGAACATGTTGAAATGTTTTCTTACTCCCCTCCCAAAAAAAAAATCAAACAATCTTTCACATCGTCACATATAAACAGGTGATGGAAGAAATTACCTGATGGGCAAAAATGGCTCTTCATGACAAGCATGGACTGCTGCCAAACACTGATACATGTACAGGAAACAATATCTTAAACACCTTAAGAAAATCTGACATCAGTCCCTAAACCAAGTATTGTTTTGATATTCATGTTAATTACATTTGATGATAGCTGGTAGGTGAAGTTTGGTGTCTTGGTGTTGAGAATCAAACAATCTTGTAAAAAAAGAGAACATAGACATTTCTGCCTTTCAACAAAGAAGCGTGGAGGACACAGTGGATATCTAAATGTACAATTATCGAGTTGCATTGTAGACCCTTCCCATTCCTCTACCATAACTGAGCAGTTTAAGTTGCCTATAAACATAGTCAAAGTGTATCATTTCTATAGACATAGGCACAGCAGGGGGCAGTTACTGGAATCTAAAGTTGCCCAAGAAGCTCATTAAAGTAAAACTGCTGAAGAGCTCAACTGCAAACCACATTAGCTCTAACAGAACTGTGACGTTGACAGTGTTTGGCCTCCCTGTTACACCTCTGCATGTCACTGTCTCCCTGCTGGCTAATTAGTGAAACAACTTTTCCCCACCACCTCTGAGATATTTACATTTTGGCAATGCGTAAAAGTCCTATCTTGAACGGGCAATGTAAAAGGGGCTAATCTTAGTTACTACTCTTCTCTGAGCTGGATAACTGTTCTCTAAGAGGGAAAAGATGTAAACTCACTGTGTGATGTTTGACTTTTTTTGAGGAGTGTTTGGCCATTATGAGCTGGAGATTTGTTGGAATCAGGCCTTGGACATTTTGTCAAAAATAAAAACTCAACACTACCTTAACTCAAAGTAAGACAGCTAGCTTTTTGAAAGCACACGCAAATGCTCCTGACTTCTGCTGGGATAGGGACTGGCTTTCTGAATGTGCACGGCCTGTGTGTGTGTGTAAATTGGATTTAAACCCATGTAATCACAACACAGTGCACACACCTGTGTTGTATGCTCACAGAGCAACGTGCTATGGCATCACAACAGTGCAACATCAGTTTCACTTCTCATTGTCTCATTTTATACCTCTGGCTTAGCAATTACTCATTCCTCACCCCTTTCCCCAATACTACCCTTCCACACTCTCTTTTTCACCTCTTGCTAATTATTTCATTTCCTTTCCTTTTTTTCTACTTCCACCCTCCCCCCTCCCTCTCTCTCTCTCTCTCGCTCTCTCTCTCTACATCTCCTTTGCTTCCACACTTGGCAGCAACTTCCCGTCGCCATACAGCACAGAACTCTATATACACTGACTGTTATTACCTTGGGGAACGTTTAGCAGCTCTGTGTTTAACACCACATAACCTCCGCTACATCGGCAGCGGCAACAGAGAGAAAAAACCTGGGAGGTGGAAACCAGAGACTGCCTGTGTTAGGCGAGCGTTTTCGACTGATCACCACAATAAAGACGACAAGAGAGGGAAAGCGAGAGAGAGAGAGGGAGAGCGAGCATGTGACAAGCCTGCTTTATTTCCAACCTATTGGATGATCAGTGATTCTTAAGGGGAGGGATAATTTCTTGCAATATCTCTCACTACAAAGTAAATAGAAATCAAAGCCCTTCACGCTCCGAGACAGAAGCACTATATGAAAGAAACTATCTTAACAACCTCCTTCATTCCGCTGCTCTTTCTTCCGTCTGTTCTTCTCATTGATTTCACGTAAGCGGTGTTAAGTGAAACTATTTGAGAGGCAATGGATCCACTTGACTTCCTGTCTGGTGAGGTGGGGGTGGGGGGGGATTGGCTCCCAGTACGGTCAAATAAAGCTTCTATTACATCTAGTACTTGTGTTTTTATTAACCTAATTATGTGATCAGACTTTTTATATTTCAACTTAACTAATCAAAAGAGAACTCGAGACATCATGTTCAGTTTGAATGAATCCCTGTGGTTTGTATTTTTTTTAAGCAGCACATTGTGCCTGTCTGTGGATTCCTGTCGCTTAGCATCATCCAAAATCCCCCACTCTCCCTTGACTCGCATACTGTATACACATCAAACAGCCCCCACCTCACAATTTTACATCGCTAACCTTACCCCTTAGTAGGGATAGGGATCAAAACTCAGCTCTATTTAGGACACAGTTCCTGCAACGTTAGAGCTTATCCATCCTGCTATTGAGTCTTGTTGGTCTGTTGGTTAATGTAAAATGAGAAGTAGAGTTGAGTGCAGAAGCATACATGGAATGTCCCAAAACTTTTTAGAGTAAAATTAAATTGCCAACCAAACAGTATTAAACTGCACAAAGATGACTTCTGGTGGTCGGTTGCTTGCAAGGATGGCTTATTGACGACGTTGGGCTACAT